TCCTCACGGACCACTGGTGGTCCATGGACCACAGGTTTGGAACCACTGCCCTCTCTCTATATATATCAGCCCCAATGGCAAAACTCCTCTGAAGTAATTGAGCATGAAAGCTTTGTGTAAGGAATGCCATAATGACTTGAAACACACAGTAAGAATCCTATTTTCTACAAAAAAGAAGTGGCTTTCTCTTAAAAGTAGACCAGGTTTTGGTTTTGAGCCATTATAAAACCTTGGAACAGATCATATTTAACACACATCTTGTAGAGTAGGAGTATGCAGATTTTAGGACTGAGCTAACAGGAGAGGGTATTGCTGCGGGAATGAGGGTTTAACTTTTTACCTATTTCAAACCATGGGAAATACACACGATCTTCATGGTTTGTATGTGGTTCTTTGTTTTTCCAGAGTTTAACTTAAGGGTATAAGGTTTTCCCATGGGGCCCTTTTCACAACATGAGTAAATTAGGTTCTTGTGGGTTTTTTTCGGGCTATAGGGCCATGTTCTAGAGGCATTTCTCCTGACGTTTCGCCTGCATCTATGGCAAGCATCCTCAGAGAATGGTTGCCATAGATGCAGGCGACACGTCAGGAGAAATGCCTCTAGAACATGGCCCCATAGCCCGAAAAAACCCACAAGAACCTAGTGATTCCAGCCATGAAAGCCTTTGACAATACAATGAGTAAATTATTTCTTAATATATAAAACATGTCCAGAGTCTATGCATTGGCACTACGTAAGAAGGAATACCCTCAATTCTCAATAAGGCTTAAGGAGCTGTGATATCACACCACATAAGTAGTAATAGCTGGTTGTTTTCACAGGCTTAGTCGGCAAGGTTTGGTGAAAAGAAAGGGAAAATATAACTCTTGTGTATTTTTTTATTTTGCCAAAGGTACAGAAACTGTGCCAGAGGTACAGAAACAGGCCAGTTATTTGTTTTCTGGCCTGTTACAATCCTAGTGTGTATTAGGGTTGGGAAAAATAACATTTCTTTCATGTCCTTGATTTAGCTTTGGTCTAAAAGTCAGGAAAGATAGTAGTATTTTTTACCATTCTTTCCCCCAAGGGGATAAAATTTTCCTAAACGAATGTGCTTAGCTAACCGTAGAAGTAAGACATTTGTGCTTTCAGCATTCTCTATTAAATGTTTATTCTTTAAGTAATGTCTCACAATGAGATTTAGTGACATGAGGTCCTGTACAGTCCACATCACGTGAATTGAACTCTTCGCAGATGTGGAAGTGCATCCGTTTAGGAGCGAAACGTCGGAAAGCATGTGTTATTTTTAGACAGAGGTCCTAGGAAGGTGGAGGGTGCCTCTTTACTTGTACAATCTTGCATTTGCTACTTTCCAAATAATAAACATAAAGAAAATTTAGAGCCCTGTTTTTTTAAAAAAAAAAGTCCTTGGTATTGAATACACTTTGAAAGCTGCCTTCACTTGAAAAAAAGTTTAAATTGTTGTATTAAACATAGTCTCAGTTTTGTCTGGAAATGTACTACAATTTATTTCTTGCCGTTTTTGTGTAAAATTTACAGAAACAGTGTTACATCGTGCGCTCCAAAGGTAATGTCTCATTCCTCTAAGGCTGTGTTCTTTCTCTTCTTTCTTTCTCTCTCTCTCTTCCTTTCTGTCTCTCTTGTCCTTTTCTGCTCATATATGCATTAAATCTTGTGGTGGTGAAATTCTTCCAGCTCTTGAGAGAGAGGGAACCTTTATGACAATGCTGTTTTAAAACTTATCAATGCAGCCTAGCCTCATTCTCTCAACTTAGAAAATTTAATGAAACAGCATTGAATTTGCCTGTGAAATTGTAGAAATAGGAGCACCCTTTCAAGGGCTCCAGAATCAACATTATCTAAGCAACTCTGCATTAGGAGGAAATTGTGACACTTTTGAAAAATGGTGGGATGGGCCGTCATTGTCTTGTGTTCTTATTCCATGTGTACGATGGACTTCCTGTTAGTGGAAAGAACACCTACCACTTGCTTTGAACATTGATCAAATGAAAAGTTTCAAGCTTATTGAATCCCTAAAGCCTTGATATTTTAGGGAAGCAAGTCACAGTTTACAGTGTTTGTTGCTCCAGCTGCTCAGGTGTACTGTACACTTTTGTCTCCCTCAATGTCTGTTGATTTTTTAAACATATTTTTCATTGAGTAATGAAAGTACGTTAACTTACATTAAGCAAGTGGATGTTTCAGAGCCATAATGGACGGGTTAGCATTTGGTGTTTCAATTAATATTTGGAGTTGCTCTTGACTGTACTGCTTGTTATGTGCTGGAACTTCTAATCAAACTTTTCTCTTCCGTAGCACCTGCTGTGGTTTAAAATATGCCAATTCCATCACAGTTATGAGAACTAAGGGGACTTACCACTAGTTTCTCAGTGCAGTCATAGATGGAGTTATGCTTGAATTTGTGGGCTGAAGTCCCAAACTCTCCTACCTATGGAAGCACATTAGTAGAATGTTTACCTGTTTTACCAAAAGTGTATTTATAGCAGTGGTTCCCAACCTTTGGACCTCCAGGTGTTTTGGACTTCATCTCCCAGAAATCCCAGCCATCTTACCCGCTATTAGGAACTGGGAGCTGAAGTCCAAAACACCTGGAGGCCCAAAGTTTGGAACTACTTATTTATAGATTTGAGCTGCCTGTTGCACATGTAGTTAGACTCAACAGTAAGCCTTTCAGTATAGTGATTTAACTATGCAGGAGCCAACTCTTGGTGAGTTACTATTTGGTTACCATTCTGGTCCTTGTTTGTGGATGTTCTTTGGTGTTTGGGATCCTTAAGCATGTGTTTAGTGTCCACTGTATAGTATGTTTATTTTTGTAAAAGTTATGCATATGCCTCAAGTGTGATACTTCCTGGGTTTTCAAGACATCTAATGACACAGACCACTTTTGTTCCCCAATCCTAAATTTGAGCAGCACAAAGTCTGATGTTCCTAGTTCACTGAGATCTTCATAAACCTATTTCTAATTCCCACATAAAGTGTGTCAATGCCATCTAGAGCTTCCTCCCACACCCCCAAAATGCTCCTTAATGCCCCCCATGTGCTCTAGGGATCTGGAAGGCACTATTGTTGTTATTTTTCAAGATGGGAAAAACCCAACATGTTCCAATCTTGTAGGAAATTAAGGCAGGTGAAAATGAAACACGTCATCTCTGCCAAGGCCTCCACATCAGCTTTGAATTTTAGTCTGGCTGCCAAGAAATGTGCAAGAGCTGTGGTTACCTAATAATAAACCTCCTGAGTGATGGAGGTGAAACTTACAGGACTATTTTATTTATATATACAAGATGGCCTAGAAGGATCTTTTTGTTCCTTATTTTTAGCTTACATTTTAAATTTGTATTTTTATTGTATTTAATATAACAAAATAGTAACAAATAGGGATGGTGTGAGTTTTCCGAGCTGTATGGCCATGTTCCTGAAGCATTATCTCCTGACATTTCACCCACATTTATGGCAGGCATCCTCAAAGGTTGTGAGGTCTTCTGAGGATGCCTGCCATAGATGTGAGCATAACGTTTTCTTCTGGAACATGACCATTCAGCCCAGAGAACTCACAGCAACCCAGTGATTCCAGCCATGAAAACCTTTGACAACACAGTAACAAATAGGTTACAATTTTGTCTTCTCCCTCCCTCCCCCAATTCACAGACATTTGCAGGTTACTCCCCTGTCAATCCAGTTACTGATAAATAATTCCCCACTCTTGTGTCTAATTTTTAAAGTAATAGACATTATTTTGGTCATTTAACCCAAATCTCCCTTGATCTGAGGGTGGTTTAAATTTGCAATTATTCTGATACATGTAGTTAAGAAATTATTTCCATCTGAGCTCAAACAATTCTCTTTTATTTATATTTTTAAAATCAGTTTTTGCTATAAAAAAATAACTTACAAAGGTTGGAGAGAAGAGAAATTGGAGAGGATCTTTAATAACTATTTTAACTTCCTGTTTTTTGCTAAAGCAGTACTCTATGTGGTATAAGGAACAGATTCATGTGTTGTATTTGGTTTGTAATTTTCCCTGCATAACCTGTACCTTAAGATTTCTAAGATAGCATTTACATCTCATTAGTCAAGAGGAATTTTCTTGAACAGATGTAAACAAATTGGACACATACATTATGAAAGCCCAGAGTGGAAAGAGCCTCCTGGAAGACTGAGTAAATACAGTTGGACGTCTCCTGGGCAGCGTTTCTTGTAAACGGCTAATCTCTCCAACCCAAAAGCATTGCTTTACATTTTTATTTATCCAGTGCCTTTGGCACAAAATAAATAAAACCTTTGATTGCAGCAGAGCCTTCTGCAAATTAGCTAGGAAGTAATTTTGATGTTTGTAATGTAGTCCCTCCCCCCCAAAAAATGTTTTTGGAATATTTGAAAGACAGTCTGGTTCTTCTATGATATTCTTCCAGCATTGACCTAACTACTAAATATCTGCACCATTCTTTGACAAAATAATTTGAAATTCATCATCAAACCCAGAAGAGTAGTGAGAGGCAAACTGGTTTGAAGAGACGGATTTTATACATTTCTGTGGCTGATATGTTTGACTGTTAAAAATATATTCATAGAGATAATAATTGTATCTGTTCCTGTTTTATTATGATTGAGTTAGTTTAAAGAACCAGATTGCAGTTACGTGCAATGTGCAATAAATGAAATATGTCCAGTTCCTGCCATGATGAAAAAAAGAAATTAGCTTATTTATATATGTCCTGCATGCATTTCATCTTAATTCAAGGGAAGGAAAACTTAAAATGTGGTTTTGTGTTGTAATGTTATTATTTGCTTAAAAATGTAATCTAGTCCCTGCGTTTAGTCTGGACACAAGGTTTCTGCGCAAAGCTAACTATTACATTTTTTTCTCCCTTTACTTTTTTGTTGTTTGTATCATTCTGCCTTTTTTACCTCCTCATCCGAACACCTGATTTCCCCCCCAAATAAACATCTCTTCATGCATGTTGGTGTTAAGCAGAACCACAAAGCCTGCTCCTCATCTTGATGGGTAAGACCCACATCTTTACTTCTATTCTTGCTTGCTGGAAAGATTTGGGCTTACTCAAGTGGAAACCCTCTCCCAGACGCATCTACTTCCAAGTAGAACCAAGTAGATGTGAAAGGAGATGCATGTTCAAACCCCTGCTCTGTCATGAAACTTACTGAGTCCCTTTGGACTAGTCACCACTCAGGGTCATAATGTCTAAATTACAGGCTGCAATGGTGGAAGAGTGAGATGGGATGGATAAATGAAATGACTATATACATATTGACCTTGAGTTCACTGTAATAAAGGGACAGGATAAGGAAATGACTGGGACGGGTATTCTTCTCCTGTTAATTTCAGAGTTATTTTTGCAGTTTGTTCCCTCTGGAAAACAGGTAAGCTACCTTGACTCCTAGCTTTGGTGAAAAAAAGGAGTATGCATAAGATAATAGAATCTGAGAACTGTTTTCTAATAGTAAAAAGTGGGTATCTTTGTAAGAGCAAAGGGAGCTTGATATTCAATGTTTCAGGGTTTCCATAAACCAACTGAAAATATTTTTGATAGGCCTAAGGGTCTATAATAATAACCTGTGTATGCCATTGCATAACATGTAACTCCATATGCGTCTTAGGTTAAACATTATCTCCTATTTCCAATGTATGACATTTTGATCTTGCATTTTATACCTGAGTATGCAAAAAGGGTCTTCTGGCGGTGCAGTAGTTTAAACCACTGAGCTGCTGTACTTGGCTGACCGAAAGGTCGGCAGTTCGAATACAGGGAGCAGGGAGCTCTCACTGTTAGCCCCAGCTCCTGCCAACCTAATAATTCGAAAACATGCAGATGTGAGTAGATCAGGGGTCCTCAAACTAAGGCCTGTGGGCCGGATACAGCCCTCCAAGGTCTTTTACCTGGCCCTCGCTCAGGGTCAACCTAAGTCTGAAACGACTTGAAAGCACACAACAATCCTATCTCATCAGCCAAAAGCAGGCCCACACTTTCCATTGAAATACTAATAAGTTTATATTTGTTAAAATTGTTCTTCATTTTAATTATTGTATTGTTTTCAGTGTTTTTTGCACTACAAATAAGATATGTGCAGTGTGCATAGGAATTCATTCTTGGGGTTTTTTTTTTCATATTATAATCTGGCCCTCCAACAGTTTGAGGGACTGTCACCTGGCCCTCTGTTTAAAAAGTTTGAGGATCCCTGGAGTAGATCAGTAGGTATCGCTTCTGCAGGGAGGTAATGGCGCTCTATGCAGTCATACTGGTCACATGACCTTACGGACAATGGCAGCTCTTCAGCTTAGAAATTGAGATGAGCACCACCCCCAAGACTTGAACACAACTAGACTTAATGTCAGGGGAAACCTTTACCTTTGCTATGCAAATAATCTTAGTCTATCTTTTTTTTTTTTGTTAAAAATATGAATGTTTGAAAGAAGGACATTTGTTGGAACTCCTCAATACTCCTTGTATCCTCTGTTTCTGCAGCGTTCATGTTGTCTTTGGATTGGTGATTTCTGGCTTCGAAGTGATAGAACAAATAGAAAATCTGAAAACTGATACTGCCAGTAGGCCTTATGCTGACGTGCGAGTCATTGACTGTGGAGTGCTGGTGACAAAACCAGCCAAAGATGGTAAGCCATTGCATTTCCTTTTTGGCCTAAGGGCTCATAATTTTCCTTAGCCTTAGTAATTTCATGCCACTTAATTTGAATAATATATATATCTATATTTGTGTAATAAAATATATATAATTATGGTTAAAGGATGGTCCTTGACTTGCATATAAGGTCAGGACCTTATGTGTGTTAGTCAAGGGCAGTCTTTTAAACCAAAATTATGCATTTTGATATGACCCTAAGATAAGTCAAGGGTAATTTGTCAGAGTTAAAGTACAGCAATCATATTGATTAATGGATAAGTCATGTTTTTGGGGTAAATTTTGACTACAATTTCTACATTTATATCTGAATTTATACAGAAGTGTTCTAAAACAGCTTTTAAATTTCTTTTGACGTTTGCACTTTATAGTGACATCACGCTAAGTTCAGCCATGTTTCTCTGCTGTATAGGAATGATATGCAATCTGATGCTAAGTAGTGGAATAAACTAACCTTGTGGTAGAATATTAACTACTAATCATATTGTGAAAATATTTTGAAATGTTTTAGTGAAAAAGTGGATCAAAAGATTACTATCCATTTCACTAAGCTGAAATTGGTACTTGAAATAATAAGTTTCCTTGAAGTAGCAGCTTGGGTTTATAAAGTAGCGTAGTCTTCCTCATTCTAATGTCTTCCAAATGTTTGTGACTATAACATCAATATTTCCATGTCAGTTCAAGTCAGACTTCCAGGGAGAAATGGTATTATAGATTGTAGAGTGACATGTGTTAAAATGCTAATATTGTTCTGGGTTTATTTAGTGCCGGATTACACTATGTAACAAAATTTGAAAAAACAAAATGTTCCTGGTATGAAAGTGTTATTTCTTGTTTAATTGTGCAGTGCATTCTTTGAAAACAATTGCCATACTCTAGAAACTTTGTTTTTGTGGGTGCCACAAACTATGTTGAATTGGTTGATACTCGATATTTATTGAGAAGCTATAGCAAAATGTGCTGCAGGATGTCCTGCAGAAAACAAATGTTTTGAAATTTAATTTTAAAAAATCATGTTTTTATGATAGAACCGATTAAGAAATGACATTTATAACCAAGGAACAAAAATTGTGTTACATAGTGTTATCAGCCCCTATTGTGTAAGTAATTACTGTACAAGTTCATTTGGTAAATGTGGCCAAAACTGCCACACTTTCTAAAATAGTAACAAAAATGTGTTTGTAGTAGTAAATCATCATGATCTCCAGGTAACTGAATTATAGTTCTAATTGTATCAATGTTGAATACGAATCCATATGTTTTGGTAGAGGTAATAATAAAAGGCGTACCTTTGTCATCCCAAGTGCTGGAGAAGAAGAGGAAGGTTTCTCCTAGCTCTGAAGTATCAGACTCCTTCTCCAGCAGTTCCTCTACTTCATCAGACTCTTCATCTGACAGTGAATCGGAAAATGAGAGAAGTAGAAAAAGGAAACGGAAGAGAAGAACCAAAGCGAAACAATCACGGAAGCGAAGAAAGGAAGAGAAAAAGAAAGAGGAGCCCAAGAGCAAACAGATATCAAGACAAAAAAGGTACTTGATACATTAAATTTGATTTTAAAAGGCTTTAAAAATCATAGTTGAGGAGCAAGCCTTTAAAAGCATTAAACTCGTTAAAACAAAGTACACTATACTATAATGAGCTCCACTGATTCAATAGAACCTTTAAGCATGCATTTTGAACACGGTAGAAGTTGTATATGGGTCTCCATATTGCTGCTAAAATTATTGGAAGTATGTTCCCTTTGCCTCTTGGAAAATAGATGTGACAACTCCATGAACAAATGAGGAAGCCAGGTTTAGTATCTAGGAAAGTGAAATGGTTAGACTTGAAAAAATATAGGATGTGAGTTTACTAGATTTACTGGATATGTTTTATTCTCCAGACATTGTCATTTGGATGAGGAAAAAATTGCATAGTGCCACTTTCAAGGTGGTGTGAAAAATTGTTCTCTTTCCACCCAGCCTCTCTGACAGAAGTGAAGCAAATGATAAATCAGTGGACTCGAATGCAAAAAGGGACAAACCAGTTGTCCGTCCTGAAGAAATTCCTCCTGTGCCTGAAAACAGGTTTTTGCTTAGGAGAGATGCACCAACTACAAGTGCAGAGCCTGAGCCGTATGTAGTCAAGTCTTTTTTCCATTTGCATGTGTTTCTTCTTTTGAAGTGACTCCCTATTCAGTGATCCCTGAGTAGATGGTATATTCCCAGTCTTTGTGCCAGTTGTAGACCTCTGCAGCTTGTGGTATGTAAATAACAAGGACTTGATGCACAGAGTACAGGCAGCCCCTGAGTTAGAAATATCTGGTTTACAAACAACTCCTAGTTAAGAACAGGATGAGACAACACAATTGTAATGGCTCCTCAATTATGATTTCAGATCTTGTATGGTTTAATAGTTGATTTTAATGTATTGATAAGCTAGGATGTTAAAATTTTACTGATTTAATGTGTGTGTATATTATATTTGTATGTTATGTTTGTATGGCATTGAATTATTGCCTATTTGGAAGCCACTCTGAGTCCCCTTTGGGAATAGAGTGAGGTAAAATAAAGTAAATAAAACAAGAAGTGAGAGAAATCTGCCCCTCGGAAGAGAAATTCACTCTTGAAAGTGTTGTTAATATGGGAAAAGGGGTCTCCAGTGAAGCTTTATCTGCAATCCCCGTTTCCATCACAAGCCAATTTTTTTGAAATCAAATTATCACAGGGACATAACATTATACGAAATCTTCTGAACAGCAGAAAAAACACCACAAGGGTGTTAACCTTTCCCTATGCTATTCAGAACTATATTTATTTATTTATTTATTTGGCTGGAGTTATGCTTTAAAAGTGTACCGGTTCTAACTTACAAACAAATTCAGCTTAAGAACAGATTTACAGAACTTATCTTGTTTGTGACTTGGGTATACTGCCTGCACTTACATGACTTGAAGGGATGCTTGCTAGTCTTATCCTATGGCTGGGGGAAAGTGTCCTAATTAATAAGGACTCCATCATCCATATTTTTTGCTATCAGTGGAGTCCTGTAGCTAAACCTCCACAGCTGTAACAGTGGTTCCCAGCCTGTGGACTGCCAGTGGTCTGCAAGAACTAAAATATGGCTTACTAAATATGGTTATCTTTGGGCGAGCAGATGGCAACTACTGGATGACATATGTTATGTATCAGAAACTAGAGCTGATATGGTCTATCCAATGCAGTTTTCTGAATCGGCACCCCAGATAACCAAACCGAATCCAAAGTTGACCACAAACCGATTCGTAACCCTTTTGGTACTAATGTTGGAGAGTGGTCCCTGGTCAAAAAAAGGTTGGGAACCATTGTGCTATAATGAGAAAAGCACATAATTAAGACAGACATCTTCTAGCAGCATCAGTCCATTTCACAGGAAATTCTAGCAGACATATTAGAAAATTCCTCCTTGGTCCTTAAGGGATTCTCTCCAGGGTAATGTCAGTACCTGCCTTTCAGGAGGAACTCTTTTGCTATCCAAGAATAGATTGTTTGCCTACAAAAAAAGTTTAGTACTAACTTTGAGACATACACCAGCTCAGTCTCTACTGTTGACCTGGAGCCAGGCATGTAGCCGGGGGATGGGGGGTGGGGTTTAAGGGGCTTCAGCCCCCCCCCCCAAATTCTCAGCATGGTCCATGAGAAGACCTTCCTGGTGCATTATTTAAACTGTTACGTTTATTCATATCATGATCTGATCACCATGCTCGATATATCCCATATGCATGGGGGTATTGGGATAATGATACAAAAGGTTTGCTAGGGTAGATCCTCAGCCCGCCCCGAATCAAAATCCTGGCTACGGGCCTGCCTGAAGCCAAAGGAAGTAGGCACAAACTGTAAAGGCTTTGTGTCTCAGGGGAAGATGAGAGAAGTGTCTGTCAGAAGTTCAAAGGTTGTAAGCTCTGTCCTGTACTACCCCATATTTGAGACTCAACATAAGACCACTCATATCATCATCTGGTCTCTAAGGAATTGTGTATGTGGTTGTTCAACTCCTGTGCACTGCCTGGAATTTATTTCTCTGTCTGGAAAAAAGGATTGATTTCTTTTCCGATGCTTTCTTCTTTACGCTTGCATCATTCTTAACGTTTAAGGAAGCCCCCCGATGTAGCACCAGTTTTGACTGACCAGAAGCCCTCAGTGTCTAAATCTGGAAGGAAAATCAGAGGGAGAGGCACAATAGTATGTTTATTTTTCATTCTTTTCCTTTAAAACTAACTAACTTATGAGAGAATGAAACGTTGTGTGGCACTTGCTTAGGTCTGTTAAAAATTGTCAGTATGTGGGTAGCAGTGTCGTCTGTTTAAAAGGTGGTCATCATCATTTTTATTAATGAGGTTGAGATGTTTTCTATGGAAAGAAAGAAAGAAAATATCCATCCCCTAAGAACCCAACCAGCGGCAAGGTGAATGAATTTTTAAAAAAAAAAAAATGGTGCTGGGAGGGAGCTACATATGTTGTAGTTCTTTTTTATTTTCTGATAGCCAGTGTGTTCACAGACCCAGAGTGCATCGCTAGACACATATCTTGCTTTGAACTATTATTACAGGTGGGACTTGATTGGCAATTGTATGCCTGCACAGTTGACGCATGCTGTGTAATACTGTGCTGTGCCTTTTCTTATTTTAAAAAGCGGTACCACACACCACCTCATTCTCGCTCCTGTTCGGAGTCTGGCAATGATGGGAGCAGCGAAACACCTCCCCATTGGAAAGAAGAGATGCAGAGATTGAGAGCCTACAGAGCGCCCAGCGGGGAAAAGTGGAGCAAAGGGGACAAGTAAGGCTTTCCAAAGTGTTTGAGACTTGTATTGTCGAAGGCTTTCATGGCTGGAATCACTCAGTTCTTGTGGGTTTTTTCGGGCTATATGGCCATGTTCTAGAGGCATTTCTCCTGACGTTTCGCCTGCATCTATGGCAAGCATCCTCAGAGGTAGTGAGGTCTGTTGGAAATGGGAAAAAGGGTTTATATATCTGTGGAATGACCAAGGTGAGACAAAGGACTTTTGTCAGTTGGGCTAGGTGTGAATATTTCAACTGACCACCTTGATTAGCATTCAATGGGCTGACTGTGCCTGGAGCAAACTCTTCTTGAAAGGTGGATTTCCCATGTTTTTGAGTGCTGTTCTTTATTTACTGTCCTGATTTTGGAATTTTTTAATACTGGTAGCCAGATTTTGTTCATTTTCATGGTTTCCTCCTTTCTGTTGAAATTATCCACATGCTTGTGGATTTCTGTGGCTTTTCTGTTTACACCTTCACCATTTGGAGCCATGGAGAAGAAGAACTCAACAGGTTCCTGGAACATCTTAACAGCATCCACCCAAACATCCAGTTCACTATGGAAAAAGAAAAGGAAGGAAGACTGCCTTTTCTAGATGTCCTAGTCATCCGCAAACCAGATCAAAAATTGGGTCACACCGTTTACAGAAAACCCACACACACAGATATATATCTACATAAAAACTCCAACCATCACCCAAGTCAAAAAAGAAGCACCATTAAAGCCTTGGCAGACCGTGCAAAAAGAATCTGCGAAGCCCACCTCCTCCAAGAGGAACTGAACCACCTCAACTGGGCTCTACAGGCCAATGGAGACTCCACCTCAGACATCAGAAGAGCTGCAAGACCACGAGAACAAGCCACGAGAGTAAAGATGAAGATCCACCCAGAGGAAAAGTGTTCCTGCCATACATCAAGGGAACCACTGACCGCAGAGGGAAGCTGATGAGGAAACACAACATACAAACTATCTACAGACCCACCAAGAAAATCCAACAAATGCTACGTTCAGCAAAGGACAAGAGGGATCCTCTCACCTCTGCAGGAGTCTACCGTATACCATGCAGCTGTGGACAAGTCTACATAGGGACCACCAAACGCAGCGCCCAAACAAGAATCCAGGAACATGAAAGGCACTGCAGACTACTCCAACCAGAGAAATCAGCCATAGCAGAGCCCCTGAGAGAAAAACAGGCAAGGACATCTAATCACCTTCCAAGAAGTGTTTGCTCCAGGCACAGTCAGCCCATTGTATGCTAATCAAGGTGGTCAGTTGAAAGATTCACACCTAGCCCAACTTCCAAAACCCTTTGTCTCACCCTGGTCATTCCACAGATATATAAACCCCTTTTTTCCCAGTTCCAGCAGACCTCACCTCTGAGGATTCTTGCCATAGATGCAGGCGAAACGTCAGGAGAAATGCCTCTAGAACATGGCTATATAGCCCGAAAAAACCCACAAGAACTGAGTGTTTGGGACTTTCTCAAGTGACACCTTTCCTGTCGAAAAGTTACTTTAGATGTGAGAGTGTTATAAATAGTGCCTATACGGCAGACATGCACAAACTTTGGCCTTCCAGGTGTTTTGGACTTCAGCTCCCACAATTCCTTACAGATGACAGCTTCTTAGGAATTGTGGGAGTTGAAGTCCAAAACACCTAGAGGGCCAAAGTTTGCTCATGCCTGTTATACAGCTTGCCCTCCTCATTCGTGTTGGGTGAGTGGGCTTATTAACAAAAGACCCTCATAAATCTACAGCAAAGTAACTTAGCAGCAGCAGCGTGACCTAACACCAGTAGCCAAAAGTGATAAACAAAAACACACAGACCAAAGTTATCTCTTCCATAGGAGGCTTTTCTTCATAGTAAAATAATATGGTTACACTATTTACTAGAATAAGGTTTCAATAACACAAATAAATTCCACACTGAGCTTTTTTCTTATCCAGATGAACAGCTTCGCTCTCACAGAGCTTCCTCTCACACAAAACTTACTCAGGAGATTCACACAGTAGCTTTATACACAGTTTAAACACAAGGCCTTCAATGTATTGTCGAAGGCTTTCATGGCTGGAATCACTAGGTTGTTGTAGGTTTTTTCGGGCTATATGGCCATGTTCTAGAGGCATTCTCTCCTGACGTTTCACCTTCATCTATGGCAAGCATCCTCAGAGGTAGTGAGGTCTGTTGGAACTAGGAAAAAGGGGGTTTATATATCTGTGAAATGACCAGGGTGGGACAAAGGACTCTTGTCTGCTGGAGATAGGTGTGAATGTTTCAACTGACCACCTGGATTAGCATTTGATGGCCTGGCAGTACCTGGGGCAATCTTTTGTTGAGAGGTGATTAGATGTCCCAGATTGTTTCTTCTCTGTTTTGCTGTTGTAATTTTAGAGTTTTTTAATACTGGCAGCCAGATTTTATTCATTTTCATGGTTTCCTCCTTTCTGTTGAAATTGTCCACATGCTTGTGGATTTCAGTGGCCTCTCTGTGTAGTCTGACATGGTGGTTGTTACAATGGTCCAGCATTTCCGTGTTCTCAAATAATATCTGTGTCCAGATTGGTTTATCTGGTGCTCTGCTATGGCTGACTTCTCTGGTTGAAGTAGTCTGCAGTGTCTTTCATGGTCCTTGATTCGTGTTTGGGTGCTCCAGGCCTTCAGCCTGGAGCTTCTCTCATCAAAGCTTCTCACACCAGGACTACTCACACTCTGAGGCTTTCTCACAGACTTAAGGCCTACCTCACTCTGAGGCATTCTCTCACAGACTAAGGTCTACCTCACACTGTGAGGCCTTCTCACAGGCTGAGACCTTTCTCCCACTGAGGTTTACCTCAGACTGAGTGCTACTAAGCTATAGGCACACCTCCTTATATAGAACAGCAGCTTTTGTTGAGTCATTGCATCTATTTAACCCATTCAGTGCTTCACTACATTTTTTTGTAATTAAAAATACCTAGTTAATTTTTAATAAGTCTGTCAGTTCGCATGGTTGACCTTGCAAATCTGATTATTTGCCAATTCGATTGAAATGTTTTCTCGAAGTCTTTGGGTTCTCCAGTGCAGCTATTCCACCAGAAGTTGGCCATAGATTCGTACTGGAGGACCCAGAGATGTGTAGGGAAGTGGGGTTTTTCAAAAAAGCAGTTTTTTCATTCATGTTTTTCCCACATTCACGGGGGTTCTGTGAATCTGGAGGGCTAACATGCTTTTTTAGAGAAGTATAGAAATACATTTATTTAGAATATGTAAAAGCACATGCTTTCCTAATTGTTTTCCTGCTTTCTTAGGTTGAGTGAGCCAGGGAAGTGGGATGAAAGAAGTCTGTCGCAGAGGTCAAGGTCTTGGTCCCATAATGGCTATTCGGACCCAAGCAGTGCAAAATATTCCAGCCAGCACAAAAAACACCGGAAAGAGAAAAAGGCAAAGCACAAAAAGAAGGCGAAGAAGCAAAAACATTTAAAGAAGCACAAGCAGGTTAAAAAGAAGAGGTTATCCCCTTCGTCGGAGATGGACTCTTCTCACTCCTCTACGAGGAGGACAAAATCATCTTACGATCAGGAGCAAGGGTCTCACTCCTCTTCACTGACGTCAAGGGGTGACTCCTCTAGAAGACACTGGTCTAAATCCGAGAGAGATAAACAAAGCTCTCCATCTCTATCCAGCAGAGATTCTCAGTCATATTGTAGGTCCAGATCCAAGTCTGGATCTCGGTCCAGGTCTTATTCCAGAAGAAGTTCTAGATCAAGATCTAAGTCTTCTCCATCTAGGAGTGGGTCCAGATCCGAGTCGAGTTCTGCCTCTAAGCATCCAAATACAGCATCCACTCCACCCAAAAATGTCTCTCATTTCAATGAGTGTAAGCCAGCCATGGTAGAGCCTGCAAGGACAGCACTTCCCCAGAAAGATAAAGTTGTGATTCAGCCTGTTGTTGCCGAAAGCGTTCCGGTTATACCCCTCAGCGACAGCCCTCCGCCTTCCAGGTGGAAACCTGGTCAAAAGCCATGGAAACCATCCTATGAGCGAATTCAGGAAATCAAAGCAAAAGCCACTCACATAATACCCACTCCATCAACATACAGTTTAATAGGTGCCAACGATCCCGGCGCCTCCTCTTCGTATCATAAGCGAGAAAAGAGTTCAGACAGTGAGCGGAGCAGTTACTCCAAAAACCGGAGTAACAGAAGCTCAGGCACTTGGCAAAGATCTAGGAGCAGGACAACACGAAGTAGAACCTACTCCAAGTCTTCCTCCAGATCGAGAAGTCCGTCCAGTTCGAGATCTCGGTCAACACCCAGATCCCATTCAGTGAATAAAACCCCCAGTGACCAGTCTTGCTACAGCGGCTCGTCATCTTACTTTTCTTTAAGTGAAGACGACAGACAGAAAAGCAAACTAAAATCTGAATACAGGGAGAAACATTTACAGCTGGAAAAGAAAAGGCAGAGTAGTTCGGAAAGCACACTTCCCTATGCAAAAGACGTGGCTTCTCAGAAGCATGGGAATAGCGAGAGCAGATCTTCGTCCGTTTTCTCCACAGACAGCGAGCCGTTGGTTAAACCACAGCCATCAGCTCCAGAAAAAGGGATATTCAGTTCAGAAAAATCTAATCGGAAGCGAAAAAGCAGCCCAGCTTATGAGGGAGAGGAAAAGAAGTCTAGGACTGAATGGAGCAGTAACTCCTCCAAAGTGAGAGCTTTGAAAGAGAAATCTGAATCTCCAAGAAGCGGCAAAAAAGCAAAAAGGAAAACACATGCTGGCGGTAAATGGGACTCTGATTCAAATTCAGAAGGAGGTGGGATCCGAAACAGTAAAGAAGATTCAAGATTGTCTTCCAGCAAGGAGGAAGGTGAAGCCTCCTCAGATTCAGACACAGACCTCAGCCTGGCCAAAGGCAAAGCCAAGTTAGCATCTACTTCTGGAGCAACGAAGGCAAGCAAGGAGTCCTCCCTATCAGGGACAGAGAGCTCCCATTCCCCTCCGGGCGCCCGGGGAAAATCGAGAAAGCAAAAGCACGGCTCCAAGAAGAATCCGAAGAAAGCGCATTCCAAAAAAGCCAAAGAGAAATCCAAGGGTAAAAAGGAGAAGCAGAAGGCTCCAAAGCAAAAGGAAACGTTTCATTGGCAGCCTCCCTTGGAGTTTGGCGAGGAGGAAGAAGAGGAGGAAGACATTATTGCCAAGCCAAGCGCTAAGGAAGGGAAAGAGAAGCAGGTCTCAACGGATCTTAAAGATAAAAACCAAGAGCAGGATTCAGAGAAGGACAAAATGGTCAAAGACCAAGCAAAGGGTGATGAAAAGCTCCATGAAGAGAATATACCGTTGAATAAAGCTGGAGGGCATCTGTCACCTGCCAGTCAAGCGAGTAAACGTAACGAGGAGCCGTCTACGTCGGCTCAGGCTCTAAAGGCAGATCGAAACATGACTGGATCAGAAACTCCCGACGGCACACTGGCAAAGAGAGAGAATGAGGTAGATGTGACCCAGATAGATGACATGGAGATCTGTACTCCAGAACATAATTCCCCTTTAAAGGTTGATGTGGACCTTTCCCCAGTTGCTCTGAAGATCAACCTCCAGGAGGTAAAAGCGAATAAGAATGCAAACATCCACAATCATTCCGAAGCAAGAACTGCAAAACAAAGAGTCAATGGTCAAGACTCCACCGACACCAAAGAAGACAACAGGGAAAAAGACAAACACAAATCTAAACCAAGCACGTCGGTTGCGAGTACAGTCAGTGCACTAAAGCCCGAAATGGCTGATGGCGCTCAAAGTTGTTCAGCGGATAATAAATGGAAGCCATTGCAGGGTGCGGGGAATCTCCAGCTGCCTGCTGCTGTTGCCTCCACCAGTTCTTCAGACGTCAAAAATCTACCCTCCTCATCTGAATCAAAACCGCAAGGGTTAAGGATAGAAATCAAAAGCAAAAACAAAATCAGACCAGGCTCTCTGTTTGATGAAGTAAGAAAGACGGCCCGGCTTAATCGGAGACCAAGAAACCACGAGAGCTCCAGCGAGGAGGATTCAGCCGAGCGAGAGAACAGCCAGTCCAGAAGCCGCAGCCGGTCGCGGAGCAAGTCGGAACCCAAATCCCGGCACCGAACAAGATCTCTTTCCTATAGTCACTCAAGAAGTCGGTCAAGGAGCTCTACGGACTCATATAGGTGAGTCAAGGTTACAAATAGGTGGAGCTATTTCAGAAAAAGTCTTGCACTGAGAATGTAATTCTGAATTCCTCATAATGCATGTTAGCTGTTTTGTCACTAGGTGGCCCTCAAAATCTGCTATCTTAAAACCTAGAGCCAGTGAGTGCTTTTCCATTTTTTCCAATATATATAAATGTGAAAGGGGTTCAGGAGTCTTAGTGGACCACAAGTTGAACATGAGCTATCAGTGTGATCAAGCAGGTTAAAAAGGCAATGCAATTTTAGGTTGCACCAGTAAGATTATACTGTCTAGACCGGCGTTTCTCAACCTGATGGTCGGAATCCCTGAGGGGAGGTTGCAAGGGGGTGTCAGAGGGGTCACCAAAGTTCATCAGAATCATAGAATCAAAGAGTTGGAAGAGACCTCATGGGCCATCCAGTCCAACCCCCTGCCAAGAAGCAGGAATATGCATTCAAATCACCCCTGACAAATGGCCATCCAGCCTCTGCTTAAAAGCTTCCAAAGAAGGAGCCTCCACCACACTCCGGGGCAGAGAGTTCCACTGCTGAACGGCTCTCACAGTCAGGAAGTTCTTCCTAATGTTCAGATGGAATCTCCTCTCTTGTAGTTTGAAGCCATTGTTCCGCGTCCTAGTCTCCAAGGAAGCAGAACACACAGCATTTTCTGTTAGTAATGGGGGTTCTGTGTGGGAAGTTTAGCCCAATTCTGTCATTGGTGCAGTTCAGAATAGTATTTATTTATTTATTTATTTCGGGTACTTTTACCCCGCCCTTCTCAACCCCCGAGGGGGGACTCAGGGCGGTTTACAAAAAGGCACAACTTGATGCCGACACAAAATACACATAATGTACACATAGTTAAGACAATTATCATAGTTAAAACCATCAAAACGATCAGTATATAACACATCAATAACGCATCAATAAGAATACTCTTTGATTGTAGGTGAACTATAAATCCCAGCAACTACAATTCCCAAATGTCAAGGTCTATTTTCCCCGAACTCCACCACTGTTCACATTTGGGTATATTGAGTATCTGTGCCAAGTTTGGTCCAGATCCATTAATGATTGAGTCCACAGTGCTCTCTGGGTGTAGGTGAACTACAACTCTAAAACTCAAGGCCAATACCCACCAAACCCTTCCAGTATTTTCTGTTGGTCATGGGAGTTCTGTATGCCAAGTTTGGTTCAATTCCATTGTTGATGGAGTTCAGAATGCTCTTTGATTGTAGGTGAACTATAAATCCCAGCAACTAGAACTCCCAAATGACAAAATCAACCCCCCCCCCCAACCGCACCAGTATTCAAATTTGGGCACATCGGGTATTTGTGCCAAATTTGGTCCAGTGAATGAAAATTCATCCTGCATATTAGATATTTACATAACAATTCATAACAGTAGCAAAATTGCAGTTATGAATAGCAACAAAAATAATTTCATGTTAGGGGGGTCACCACAACGTAAGGAGCTATATTAAGTGGTTGTGACATTAAGAAACTTAAGAATCGCTGGTCTAGACTGGGAGATGTAATAAGCAGCTGGGAGAGGGGGGAAGAAAGGGCCTGAGGCTATTTGGAATTGTGGGAGTAAAAGTCCAAAACACCTGGAGAGCCGATGTTTGCCCATGCCTGTTCTGTGTGCTTGAAATTCATAGGTCACGGAGCTACACGCGAAGCCGGAGCAGGGGTTGGTACAGCAGAGGCCGCACAAGAAGTCGTAGCAGTTCCTATAACAGTGGCAGAAGTAATAGGCAAGTACTTATATAAAAGGGAAGGGGTGAAGGATGGAGTGGGCATCATGGTGAAGTGTCATCTCAAAAACTAGGTTGATTTCATAACTAAGGTGATTTGCAGGCTCAGTGAGTGGTTACTGTTTTAAAAGCAGTTTGCCAATACTGTTAACTCAAGAGAATAATATCTGTAATCTAAATTAAATGCAATATTAAAAATCTTTTTTTTGGGGGGGGGGGGGATTTTTTTTTAAAAAAATACTTGTATCTTGAGTGTGTCATTTTCTTTCTCCTTATTAGTCGAACCTATAGCAGAAGTCGGTCCAGAAGCAGTTCCTATGATCACCGTAGCCGATCAAGGTATACTGAGAAAGTAATCACTGAGTCTGGGATACAGAATGTGTTTGCAACAGCATGCAGTGCACTGGGACATGGCTTTGTGGTTGTTAAGTTTCCAGCCCATCTGGTTAATTTCATTAGACCTCGAAAGTGCAAAAATGGGCATACTGTACATATTGGAGTATAAACCAACCCGAATATAAGCTGAAGCACCTAATTTTAGCATAAAAACTGGGGAAACGTATTGATTTGAGTATAAGCCAAAGGTGAGAGATGCAGAAGTGACTGGCAATTTTCAAAATAAAAATAGATACCAATAATACCGCTTCCTCAGGAAGGTAACAGCACTACATGTAGTCATGCTGGCCACATGACCTAGGAGACATCTATGGACAACACCAGCTCTTAGTCTTAGAAATGGAGATGAGCGCCATCCCCAGAGTCAGACACGACTAAATTTCAGGGGAAACCTTTACCTTTATCTTTACTAAGAAAGCTCAAAATATTCTTATGGATCCATCTCACCCTGGATACCATTTTTTTATTATTATTACCATTGGTAGACATATAGGATGTTAAAAACAAGGATAAATGGGCGGAAAGATAGCGTCCATCCCAGAGCTGTGACTATATTGACCTCTGGTTTCACACTCATGTGGCATTAGTGGTTGTGCAATAGCGATTAGAGTGTGGAAAGATGGGTGCTTTGTTTTTGCCATTCTACATATATAATGTGCATTGGGGATGACATTTAATTTTGTTGTACGATGCACAATGACAACGAAGTTATTCTATAATCAGTTACCATTTCCTTTCCTCCCTAAAAGCAGGTCGTATACCTATGACAGTTATTACAGCAGGAGTCGCAGTCGAAGCCGAAGCAAAAGGAGCGACAGTTATCACCGATCTCGCAGTTATGACCGACGGTCCAGGTAAGCTCATTTCAGGTGCGAAACACGTGGTGTTTGGTTTATACCTCAGATGTATTTAATACTTGGAAGCAGGCAAGGGCAAACTTGGGTCCTCTGAAGTCCCAAACCCCTGGAGGGCCCAAGTTTGAAATATCTGCGGAAAGTGGAAGTGACACCTAAAAACTTTACATTTACATTTTGATATCCTTCTCTCCTTTTCTTGCAGATCCTACGGTTCCGACAGTGAAAGCGACCGCAGCTACTCTAACAACCGAAGCCCCAGCGAAAGCAGTCGATACAGCTGAAAGCATCCTTTTGAAAAATATGACTGTACTTAACCAGTATATTTATCACAAAAAACTGTCCCTTCTGAGTACATTTTTAAAAGTCATCACAATGAGAAGTCTCGTGTCAACCACAGCTTTTCTTGGTGCTGTTTTCCGGGCCACAAGGTTGTATTTATATGGATTGGATGTGCAGGTAAACCTTGTATTTTGAGAGAGAGGCAAGTCTGCTATACCAAAGTAATATCTCAGCCTCTTCTGAATGTATATATATATATGCCGACCTCTCAAGCTGTGAAGGAGAGTCCCATTAGAAGCCTTCCTGCTGCAGAGTTACCTGAAACAATGCTGTATCTTGTACATAAGTAATCAGATCCTGTGCCCTAAATGGATACAGGGAATCGGGTCCGACAATTGCTGTTTCTCCCCTGTACTTGCAGCTATAGGTGAGACATATATATACAATACTTAGGTTCAGGTGCTAGCCCTGTAGCTCTTACTTGAACGAACCGAAACATGCATATGCAAGACTCCAAAAACGACATCAGACTGTTCCATGTCAATTCTGTTTCCATGTTGATCATAGCCTAGTTCCCTCCTGCGCTGGGTCTGAAAAGGCCTTGGGATGAATTGAATCGTGTCTGCCCATCTTTCAGCACCGGATATGACTTTACCGGTGACCTGTCCATCTTCCAATGTGTTTTTCATCCCAATTTTGCCAGATTTTATACTGAAGCTATGGATTCAGAGTAAGACCCTTTCTGTGTGCGTTACCAAAAAGAGCCTGCAAATTGTCTATACATGGCATCTGTGTTTCAGGATTCCTTTTTTCAGTCCGTAAGTACTGAGCTTTCTTCCGGGATTGCGATCCAGCAGATAAACATCTATTTGTAAAAACTTCAGTGTATGCAAACCTGTTATATGAAGAATGACATTTTTTTTCACAACAGAAACGGTGCGTCAGGAATGAAATACTGCCTGTAAATCTAGTGCTGATACCGAATTTTGTTAACTTTCTATAATTTGGGGAGGCTGTACATTTCATAAATGCTAAAAATAAGTATGTTTTTGTCCCAGCTGTACATTGAAAAGGCATTTTCCTTTGATGCAATTAAAATATGAAGAATTTAAATATTAGATATTGGTTGTTCATGATGTATTTATTTATTTATTTATTATTTACAGTATTTATATACCACCTTTCTCACCCCTGGGGGGACTCAAAGCGGTACCTAACATCCTTGTTTTATGAAAGAGAAGAGACACCATCCCACAATTTCTCGCAGCCAAAAGGACTTTCAAAACACCACAGGCTCATCGGATCTATGACCGCCTGGAACGATCAAGATGATCAGTTGAAACATTCACACCTAGCTCCAGCAGACAAGAGTCCTTTGTCTCACCCTGGTCATTCCACAGATATATAAACTCATTTTCCTACTTCCAACAGACCTCACTACCTCTTAGGATGCTTGCCATAGATGCAGGCGAAACGTCAGGAGAAAATGCCTCTAGAACATGGCCATATAGCCCGGAAAAACCTACAACAACCCAGTGATTCCGACCATGAAAGCCTTCGACAATACATTGAACACTTGGAGTGATAGAAGTAACACATATCCAAAAGATGTGACCAGTTTCAACAGGAAGACCATAACAAGCACTTAGGACTTCACTGAGGAAATGGAAGGAAAAAGGAAGAGGGGCCAACCAGGGGCAAGATGGATGGATGGATGGTATCCTTGAAGTGACTGTCTTGACTCTGAAGGAGCTGGGGGTGTTGACGGCCCACAGGGAGCTCTGGTGTGGGCTAGTCCATGATGTCACAAAGAGTCGGAAGCGACTGAACAAATAAATAACAATAGGACTTCAGTACGTTAGTTAAATTCCACTGAGTTCTACACTTAAAATCTGGTAATCCACTGGGCTCACAACATCAAAGGGTAGAACATGGGTCCTCAAACTTTTTAAACAGAGGGCCAGGTCACAAGTCCCTCAAACTGTTGGAGGGCCAGATTATAATTTGAAGGAAAAAAAACATGAATTAATTCCTATGCACACTGCACACATCTTATTTGTAGTGCAAAAATACTTAAAAACAATACAATAATTAAAATGAAGAACAACTTTAACAAATATAAACTTATTAGTATTTCAATGGGCAGTGTGGGCCTGCTTTTGGCTGATGAGGTGGTTGTTGTACGCTTTCAAGGCATTTCAGACTTAGGCTGACCCTGAGCGAGGGCTGGGTAAATGACCTTGGAGGGCCACATCCGGCCCCCGGGCCTTAGTTTGAGGACCCCTGGTGTAGAGCATAGCAGTTTTTGAGTCTTTTAAACGTAGGGAGCAGCAGTCTTTTCATTGTATCAGGAAGAGATGAGGAAATTGAATTTTCTCAATTATCCAAGGTTTTTTCTTTTTGCCAGATTTCTAATGTAGTAGCATTTGTTGCTCCTAGTTTAAAATGTGAGAAGGGAAGTTGTTGTTTATTCATTCAGTCGCTTCCAACTTTTCGTGACCTCCTGGACCAGCCCACACCAGAGCTCCCTGTCAACCATCACCACCCCCAGCGCCTTCAGAGTCAATCCAGTCACTTCAAGGAGACCATCCCTCCACCTTGCCCTTGGCTGGCCCCTCTTCCTTTTTCCTTCCATTTTCTCCAGCATCATTGTCTTCTCGTGATGTGGCCAAAGGACTTCATCTTTGCCTCTAATCTCCTTCCGTCCAATGAGCAGTCAGGGTTTATTTCCTGAACTATGGACTGGTTGGATCTTAGACTATACAGTCTTTAAAAGGAACATAGTTGGTTTACTAACAAACTTCATGTATACAGCATAAAGCCGCTTTGTTTATTGATCCAGTTACAATAGGATTTTAAGTAGTTTGTGTAGGTCACATAGGGCATCTTTCTTACAATCAATAGTCCATAGTCCAAAGCATCTCGCTATCTCTAAGCTTATAGATGGCTTTTAACTCTCTGTTTCTACTAAATAAAATAGCGTCTGAGTCCTGAACATGTCCAGACCTGATCACGTGGTCTGTAGCCCCTCTCATAACAAAGAGGTTAGGTAAAATTGCAAACCAATACATGCAATACAGTAAGCCAGTGTTTCTCAACCTTCCTAATGCCACAACCCCTTAATACAGTTCTTCATGTGGTGGTGACCCCCCAACCATAACATTGCTTTTGTTGCTACTTCATAACTGTTATCAATCGTAATGTAACTATCTGATATGCAGGATGTATTTTTCATTCACTGGACCACATTTGGCACAAATACTCAATACACGCTAATTTGAATACTGGTGGGGTTGGGAAATTGATTTTGTCTTTTGGGAGTTGTAGTTGCTGGGATTTATAGTTCACCTACAACCATTCTGAACTCCACCAACAATGGAATTTAGCCAAACTTGGCACACAGAACTCCCATGACCAAGAGAAAATACTGGAAGGATTTGGTCAGCATTGAGTTGGTCCGCCCCAGGAGGCTTATGGTCAGTTCTTTGCAGACAAAGTCGCTTTGATCCATTCTGGTCTGGACACCATATCAAGGGCAGTCTCTGAGGATGTAACACGAGCACCTGCTTGTCCTATTTTGATGGATTCATTTCAATTGGTGAAGCCCGAGGATGTGGACAAGATACTTGGAGGAATGAGGCCTACCACGTCCATCCTAGACCCCTGCCCATCCTGGCTTCTAAAGGAGGCCAGAGGGGGATTGGCTGAGTGGGTTAAGGTGGTGGTTAATGCCTCCCTACGGGAAGGCAAGATTCCAGCGAGCTTAAAACAAGCTATAATAAAACCGCTGTTGAAAAAACCATCACTGGACCCCACTAAATTTGACAACTTTCGGCCAGTTTCCAATCTTCCCTTTTTGGGCAAAGTCCTGGAACGCGTGGTGGCCTCACAACTCCAGGTATTTTTGGGAGACACGGATTATCTGGATCCGGCACAGTCTGGTTTCAGACCAGGACATGGAACTGAGACAGTCTTGGTCGCCTTAGAGGATGATCTGTACCGGGAGCTCGACAGGGGGAGTGTGTCCCTGTTGGTGCTGCTGGACCTCTCGACTACGGTATCCTTCTGGAACGCCTTGCGGGGATGGGTCTCGGGGGCACTGTTTTACAGTGGCTTCGGTCATTCCTGGAGGGTCAATCCCAGAAGGTGTTATTGGGGGACACCTGTTCAACCCCACAACCTTTGTCGTGTGGGGTTCCTCAGGGCTCAATACTGTCCCCCATGTTGTTTAACATCTACATGAAGCCGCTGGGTGAGATCATCCGGAGTTTCGGAGTGCGGTGTCATCTGTACGCAGATGATGTCCAACTCTGTCACTCCTTTCCACCTGCTACTAAGGAGGCTGTCGAGGTCCTGAACCGGTGCTTGGCCGCTGTGACGGTCTGGATGAGGGCGAACAAATTGAAATTGAATCCAGACAAGACAGAGGTACTCCTGGTCAGTCACAAGGCTGAACAGGGTATAGGGTTACAGCCTGTGCTGGATGGGGTCGCACTCCCCTTGAAGGCGCAGGTTCGCAGCTTGGGTGTGATCCTGGATTCATCGCTGAGCCTGGAGCCCCATCTCGGCGGTGACCAGGGGAGCATTTGCACAGCTTAGGCTCGTGCGCCAGCTGCGCCCGTACCTTGGGAAGTCTGACTTGGCCACGGTAGTCCACGCTCTGGTTACATCCCGCTTAGACTACTGCAACGCTCTCTACGTGGGGTTGCCTTTGAAGACGGCCCGGAAGCTCCAATTGGTCCAACGTGCGGCAGCCATGATACTAACAGGAGCGGATCGCAGGGAGCATACAACTCCCCTGCTGTACCAGCTCCACTGGCTGCCGATCTGCTACCGGGCTCAATTCAAGGTGCTGGCATTGGCCTATAAAGCCCTAAACGGTTCCGGCCCAAGATACCTAACTGACCACCTCTCGGCCTACGAGCCCACGAGGACTTTGAGATATTCCGGGGAGGCCCTGCTCTCAATCCCGCCTGCTTCAAAGGCACGGCTGGCGGGGACAAGAGATAGGGCCTTCTCGGTGGTGGCTCCTCGGCTGTGTAACACCCTCCCCGTGGACATCAGACTAGCTCCCTCCCTGATGATATTCTGCAGGAAATTAAAGACCTGGCTGTTTAAGAAGGCGTTTGAACAAGAAGTGCAATGATTGGTAATTGACCATAGGAATGGAACAACGGAAAATGATACTGGATTGTGGTTTTGACGATGAGACGACACGGAGTGGCTTTTGTAGTAATGATGATGTTTTTGATGAGGATGTTTTTTGATAATGATGAATTGTGGATTATTTTATACTGTGTTTTGTATTTTGCACCTTGTTTTTTCTATGTTGTACACCGCAGTGAGTCGCCCCCGGGCTGAGAATTGCGGTATATAAGCAAAGTAAATAATAATAATAATAATTGACCTTGAGTTTTGGAGTTGTAGTTCACCTACCTCCAGAGAGCACGGTGGACTCAAACGATGATCGATCTAGACCAAACTTGACACGAATACTCAATATGCCCAAATGTAAACACTGGTGGAGCTGGGGTGGAATAGACCTTGACATTTGGGAATTGTCGTTGCTAGGATTGATAGTTAACCTACAATGAAAGGTCATTCTGAACCCCACCAATGATGGGATTGAACCAAACTTGGTACACAGAACTCCCACGATGAACAGAAAATACTGGATGGGTCTGGTGGGCATTGACCTTGAATTTTGGAGTTCTGGTTCACCTACGTCTAGAGAGCAGTGTGGACTCAAACAATGATTGATCTGGACCAAACTTGACACGAATACTCAATATGCCCAAAAGTGAACACTGGTGGAGTTTGGCAAAAACAGACCTTGACATTTGGGAGTTGTAGTTGCTGGGATTTATAGTTGACCTACAATTAAAGAGCATTCTGAACCCCACCAGTGATAGAATTGGGCCAAACATCCCACACAGAACCCCCATGACCAACAGAAAATACTGGTGGTCTTTGGCAACCCCTCTGAAACCCCCTCGTGACCCTCCAGTTGAGAAACACTGCAGTAACCAATTAGATACATAACAAATAACTAGTGGTGGCTTGAGAAGTTTGCTATTTCCAACACTTTTTACATTTGGGATGTATTGACAGACCCATTACGTAGGTTTCTTGCTTTCTTTTCACCAAATATTCATGTGGATTGGAGAAAATGTTTTTAAGGAAACAGCCATCCAAAAAGCTGACTGTGTTTTTTGGTAAATGGAGAATGTTAAAGATGGTAAGACTTTAAAATAAAATAAAAACAAACTCTAAAAGCTAGAGGTGGAGCTGGGATAAAAAGGCTTGTTTGGACTGGCTTTGCAAAGCACAAAGGGGACATCTGGAAGGAGTTACTGCCAAAGACAATCAAGATGAGTCCCAGATGCAGCGGCGCTGGTCCTGTTTTGCAGAGGGATTTCTAGCACAAGAGGCCATGGATGAACCTTTGGAAATCTGTTTGCAAATATCCCGATATCTCCAGACAGAAGACTTTACTCCCCTCTCTTGTCTTTCTCTATGAGGGTGCATCTACACTGCGGAATGAGTTCAGTTTGACACCACTTTAACTGCCAGGGCTCATTGCTATGGTTCAAGCAAGAAGAAAATTCCAAAAAGCATTAAGACAGCAAAAAAAGATTTAAACTTGAGTTTGGTAAAATTGAGTTCCCCTTTTTGGGGTTACTGTGAATATTCAGAGGTGTAGGGCCAGTTCCAGAAGCATTCTCTCCTGACATTTCACCCACATCCATGGAAGGGATCCTCAGAGGTTGTGAGGTGTGTTGGAAACTAGGAAAATGGGGTTTATATAAGGTAAAGGTAAAGGTTTTCCCCTGACATGAAGTCCAGTCGTGTCCGACTCGGGAGTGATGCTCATCTCCATTTCTCAGCCGAAGAGCCAGTGTTGTCCATAGCCACCTCCAAGGTCATGTGGCCAGCATGACTGCATGGAGCACCGGTTTTATATATCTGTGGAATAACATCCAGGATGGGAGAAAGAACTCTTATCTGTTGGAGGCAATTGTGAATGTTGTAATTGGCCACCTCGATTACCACTGAATTGCCTTGCAGCTTCAAAGCCTGGCTGATCGCTGCCTGGGGGAATCTTTTGTTGGGAGGTGATTAGCTGGCCCTAATTGTTTCTTGTCAATAATTCCCCTGTTTTTGAGGGTTGATTCTTATTTACTTTCCTGATTTTTAGAGTTTTTTTAAATACTGGAAGCTTGATTTTGTTCATTATTTTATTATTACCCTCTCTGTCTGATGAAGAAGCTTGTGTTAAAAAATTCTAAAACCAGAACAGTAAATAAAGAACAACACTCAGAAAACATGGGAATTCCAGACAGGAAATAACCAGGACCGGCTAACACCTCCCAACAAGATCCCCCCAGGCAGTAAGCAGCCAGACTTTGAAGCTGCAAGGCTATTAAGTGTTAACCAAGGTAGCCACGTGCCTCAAAGCAGACAAGAGTTCTTTCTACCACCCTGGACATTGCAAAGATATATAAACCTCACTTTTCTAGTTTCCAACAGACTTTGCAACCTTTGAGGATGCCTGCCATAGATGTGGGTGAAATGTCAGGAGGGAATGCTTCTGGAACATGACCAGACAGCCCGGAAAACTCACAACAACCCAGATTCATGGGTCAAAATATTGAGTTGGCTTTTATCCATACTTTCAGTCATCCACAATAGGAATTGAAACATATTATATCTAATGGACATCTCTTTGGAGCCCCTGCCATAGATGTGGATGAAATGTCAGGAGGGAATGCTTCTGGAACATGGCCAGACAGCTCAGAAAACTCACAACAACCCAGATTCATGGGTCAAAATATTGAGGTGGCTTTTATCCATACTTTCAGTCATCCACAGTAGGAATTGAAATGTATTATATCTCATGGACATCTCTTTGGAGCCCCTGCCATAGATGTGGGTGAAATGTCAGGAGAGAATGCTTCTGGGAACATGTCCAGACAGCCCAGAAAACTCACAGCAACATTCATACTTGCCTCAAGCAGACAAGAAAACTGGACTTTGCAATGAAAACAATAAAGGAGTGTGGGAAAGTTCAATTGCAAAATAAATTGGACTTTGTAATCCAAATAACAACAACAACAACAAGACAAGAAAACTGGACTTTGCAATGAAAACAATAAAGGAGTGTGGGAAAGTTCAATTGCAATATAAATTGGACTTTGCAATCCAAATAACAACAATAATAGTCGCCCAAAAGGAACTTTTCAAGGTATTGGATTAAATCACCTATTGAATTGACAGCCATGCACTGTCTCTTTAAAAGTCCCCTCGCGCATGCGCAGGGGAAGCGACGTCTGCAATCAGCTGGGCCCGGGCATTTGCAGCCCAGCCGCGTCCCACTTTTTTTGCAAGGGGGGCCCTCAAATGGAACCGCCATAGAGGAGGGGTTTTGTACAAATGCACCAAGAGCAACCAAGCCCATCATCCCCCAAAGCCCAGGGCACAAGGAGCAGCAGAGAAAAAGAAGCTGGGAGGAGGAGAAAGCATTGCAATATTTTGCAAAAAAAAAAAATCCATTTAATTTAATTTATTTTTTGATTAAAAAGCCCCAGTCTTTCCCTTCTTAACCTTTTCATGGAGATCTCAAGGAGAAGAAGAGCACTGAGGCTCATGCGACCAGGAAGCATTGCATCAAAATGGTAAAGAGTCTCCTATATTCTCTTATTTATATTTATTTTATTTTTTTCCCTTTTCCTTGGGTTTATTTTTTTCTGCAAATCTGGAACACAAGCGTTGGAAAGTTCCTTGTAGTTCCTTCTCTTTGATGCCTTTTGCTGCCTTGCTGTCATTTTTAATTTTTGCATTAATATTAATATTTTTTTATATTTAATTAAAAGTATATCTATGTTTACATATTAAGTTATATTTAATTTCTGGAATATATTGCAAAAATCCAGGTATGGAAAAGGGGAGTTGGGAAGCAAGGCTTGCATGTACATTTATCTCTATATCTGTTGTCCCTTTCAGTGCATCCACACTGTAGAATTAATCCAGTTTGACCCCACTTTAACTGCTATGGCTCAGTGTTATGGAATCATGGGAGTTGTAGTTAGCCTTTGCTGCTGAAGGGAGCAAGTGCCCCACCAAACTCCATCTCCCAGGATTCCATAGTAGTTAAAGTGAGACCAAACTGCATTAATTCTACAGTGTAGATGCATCTTTTTGCTATCCACTGGATACCAACATCTGTGGATACTCAACTCCCAATATATGCAATGGCCTAAATAGTGACCCTCATATCAAATGGCTAAATCAAGCTATGTGGGTTCCAGCATCCACTTAAAACATTCCAAAAATCATTTTTCTATAAGCAAAACCCCATTTAATAGGCAATTATATTAATAAGACTTCGAAATCCATGGATTTTGTTATCCACAGGATTCTAGGTCCAAACCCTAGTGGATACCAAGGATCCACTGTATACACAAAAATATAGATATGCATAATAGTCAGTGACCGTAATAAACTTTTGTATTTTATTGTATTGATATGCATCAATACAATACAATATAAATATAGGCATGAGCCTGTGAATTGGCCTAATTGTTCTTCATATATGTGTATGTGATTGTGTATATATGTATGCGTGTGTGTGTCTGTATAAATGTATATATACTTGTGTGTTTATATAAACATTTGTGTGTGCATATATATGGTTATATGTATTATGTGTTAGTGTGTAATATGCATATACATGTGTGTTTATATGTGTGTGTATATATGTTTGTGTGTTTATATAAGTGCGTATAATATGTATAGTATAGAATATAAATAAATATTTGTGTGTATATGTTTATATGTGTATTGCATGCTTATGTTTTGTGTATGCAATATGCGCATATTTGTGTGTTTATATATATCTGTATATGTGTATATATGCTTGTGTATTTGTGTGCATATGTGTGTTTATATGAGTGTGTGTATATATGGTATATACAGTGTATATAAATATTTGTGTATATGTTTATATGTGTATTGCATGCTTATGTGTTTGTGTATGCAATGTGCACATATGTGTGTGTTTATATATGTCTGTATATGTGTGTTTATATATGTCTGTATATGTTTGTGTATATATGTGTTTATATGAGTGTGTGTATATATATGATATATACCATGTATATAAATATTTGTGTGTGTGTATATATATATGTATGTTTATATGTATATGTGTGTCCTTATGTGTTCGTGTATGCATACATATATGTTTTATACGTGTGTATATATGTATATCTATATATATAAATTTGTTAGGGGCATCCAACGAGGAAACAAAACTCAAAAACCCCCCAACGAAACTTAACCAAAATTCCCATGCCCATAACACAACCCACAAGGTACAAACATATCTACTCAAAGTGAAAAACAACACAACAACACACTCACAAAACGGCAAAACAACAAAACTCAAAACCCCCAACGAAACTTAACCAAAATTCCCATGCCCATAACACAACCCACAAGGTACAAACATATCTACTCAAAATGAAAAACAACACAACAACACACTCACAAAACGGCAAAACAACAAAACTCAAAAAACCCCAACGAAACTTAACCAAAATTCCCATGCCCATAACACAACCCACAAGGTACAAACATATCTACTCAAAATGAAAAACAACACAACAACACACTCACAAAATGGGCAAAACAACAAAACAAAGAAAAACCCATTAAAAATAACAACAAAACTCAAAAAAAACCCCAACGAAACTTAACCAAAATCCCCATGCCCATAACACAACCAACAAGGTACAAACATATCTACTCAAAATGAAAAACAACACAACAACACACTCAAAAAACGGCAAAACAACAAAACTCAAAAACCCAACGAAACTTAACCAAAATCCCCGTGCCCATAACACAACCCACAAGGTACAAACATATCTACTCAAAATGAAAAACAACACAACAACACACTCACAAAACGGCAAAACAACAAAACTCAAAAATCCCCCAACGAAACTTAACCAAAATCCCCGTGCCCATAACACAACCCACAAGGTACAAACATACCTACTCAAAATGAAAAACAACACAACAACACACTCACAAAACGGCAAAACAACAAAACTCAAAAATCCCCCAACGAAACTTAACCAAAATCCCCGTGCCCATAACACAACCCACAAGGTACAAACATATCTACTCAAAATGAAAAACAACACAACAACACACTCACAAAACGGCAAAACAACAAAACTCAAAAAAAAACCCCAACCAAAAAAAAAACACTCAAAAAAAAAAAAAACCCCAAGAAAACTTAAAACCAAACAAATTATCCATGTTACATAAAAACACAAAAACCACACATAAAAGATTATTCTCTCTCAAAAATGAAAAAAAAAACACAACCCACAAGGTACAAACAAACATATCTACTCAAAATGAAAAACAAACAACAACACAACAAAACGCAAAACAACTGAGCATGCGCATTGGCCCCCAGCCGCAAGTTCCCTGGCGCGCGCACATGGCCTTCCGGCCAACGTTCCCTCTGCGGAAACCATGCCCACTCCAAGCCCCGCCGCTTCCCACACACACACACCCCCTGCCGCACACACACACGCAACCCCACGCTCCATCACTCCCCGCCGCCGCACACACACACGCAACCCCACCTCCCCTCGCCGCACACACACACGCAACCCCAGGCTCCATCACTCCCCCCGCCGCCGCCCACACACACGCAACCCCCCGCTCCCCCCCCCCCCCCCCCCCCCCCCCACTCCCCCCCCCCCCCCCCCCCCCCCCCCCCCCCCCCCTCCCCTCGCTTCCTTCCTGCCAGACCAGCTATATCCCACGCTTCCATCCCCCACCTCCCCTTGCCCCAATCTTACCTCCTTTTACTTCATGCCACCTCCAACCCCCCCCCCGCCCCTTCCCGCCCTGTCAAAATCCAGGAAAAGAAGAAAGGAGGAAAGAAAAAGGAGAGAGAGGGGGAAAGAAGGAAGGAGAGAAAGAAAAAGGGAGGGGAAGGAAGGAAAGAAGTAGAGAAGGAAGGAAAAAGGAAAGAAAAAAGGGAAGGAAAGAGAAAGAAAGAGAGAGGGAGAGAAGGAAGGAAGGAGAGAAAGAAAAAGGGAGGGGAAGGCAGGAAAGAGGTAGAGAAGGAAGGAAAGAAGGAAGGAAGGAAGGAAGGAAGGAAGGAAGGGAAAAGGAAAGGAAGGAGGGAGAGGAGGAAAGAAGGAGGGAAAGAAGGAGGAAAGGGAGGGAAGATTGGCCACAGCAACACGTGGCAGGTAAAGGTTTGTTATTATTATTATTATTATTATTATTATTATTATGCTATTGTTCCTATGAGACCCTGGGGGAATGGGAGAGGTGTCAGGTCCCAGAGGCAATGCATTGCATTATTGTTATTGTTATGATGGTGGTAAAATAAAAGGAAATAAAAAGTGAAAGAAGGAAGCAAACAGGGAGGGAAGAAAGGCAAAGGAAGAAAGGGGGAGGGAATGAAGGAAAGAGAGAAGGATGAAACCAAGTAGTGAAAAAAGGAAAGAAAGAAAGAGGTAGAGAAGGAAGAAAGGAGAGAAAGGGGGGAAGGAAAAAAGGGGGAAGGAATAGGGAGGGACCTCTCTTTCATAATAGTCCAGATATCTACCTCAACTTTGATAAGTTTTACTATAGGCCACAGCAACGCGTGGCAGGGCACAGCTAGTATGTTTATATGTTTGTTTGTGTGTGTGTATATATATATAGATATATTTGCCTGTTTATTTGTGTATATATAATGTGTGTTTATATGTGTATGTCTATATATATGCATGTGTATATGTATGTATGCATTTATATGTATCTGTGTGTTTATTTGTGTATATATGTATGTGTGCATATTTATATACATTTATATGTGTGTATTGATTTGTGCAAGTGTATAAATATATATGTATGTGTGTATATATACATATATGTTTTATTTGTGCTTACATATATGTATGTTGTTGCATATATATATGCATTTATTTATTTGTGCATGCATGTATGTGTGTGTGTTTATTTGTGTATGTGTTTGTATATGTGTGTGTGCATGGAAGAACTTCCTTTTTTTCCGAAACGCATGGTGCCGAGATGCCGGAGCAACAATAGCTGTCTTGTTGCACCCAAAGGGTTAACCTCCCTTTGCCTCTCAGCTGGTGCCATTGCAAAGCATTAGCTCACCCCCTCATGCCATCCTGGCACATTGGGTGCTATGTGCATGCAGTTCCTCCTCCGTAAAGAGGGCCTTGGACTTGCATTTGGCCTTCACTTGGGTGACATTGCACCCATGCGCCCAGAGAAGTCTCAGCATGGTAGCATAAGGGGTCTTCCAGGTACATCCCCCTCCCCAAACTATACATACGGAAAGCCTTTGCGGTGCAAAGTTCTTCCAAGCTGCATTGCTTTTATCTATGTTTTAACCATGATCTACCACCTCAACCCTTGAATACATTGTTGTTGTTGTTTGATCAAGCCCTTGAATACGTACAATAATAATAATAATAATAATAATAATAATAATAATAATAATAATAATAATAATAATATCAAGATATGTTCCACCCCACTTTGTCCCCAGATGAACCCACCTTAACCGTGTGCAAATATGTGGTTCCAACTTCCCTCCCTCCGCAGGAATCTTGTGGAGGAAAGTGGA